GGTGATACAGTTGGCAGGTGTAGTTGAGAGGAAAGAAATTAGTTCCTACATGAAACTGCTCACAACAAGGTCTGTGGATTATCTTGAGAAACCAGGTCGTGATTCTGGAGAGAGACATTTCTGTTGAGTTGTTCAAAATCATCTAGTCATCTAGTTTCATATTGGAGAGAAGGCAGACATCTCTATGGCTGATAGCTTCAACCCTCAGCAACTCACACCAAAACAATGTGGACTGATAAATAGCTCTACAGGTACAGCCCGTTCTTATCCACTGCTCGTACGTTTTCCTACAAAAAGTAATGCATCAAAATTCATACATATCCCACGTAAAGGTGAGCCAGTAGTTCATGCATAACCCATGTTTTTAGGGATGCTTCCATCATGTCACCAATGCACTGATGGTATTAAAGATGGAGCGTGTTCAAAGCCGTGCATACTTTGAGTGAACCTTGAGTCGTGTTTAGTTAGTCCTCACCATGTTTCTTTTCCTAAACCTAACCTCTGTACCTTACATAAAGTTACGTAATGACCGTAAAAAGGATGTAACATCAGCCGTAGGGTGATAATTTGTAGGATATCATGCCAACTTGTGTGTGTGTATTTTTGTAGGATATCATATGAACCGCTGTATGAGGATACAGGTAAAAAGAAAAATATTGAGCATAGTGTTAGTTCAGGCAGGACACGACGTCAAGCTCAGCTCATGTCCCAGCTACATCAGCTGATCTCAAACAGTCCAATCAACTGATGGAGCAGCTGATTGATGAAAGGGAGTCAGCTGATAGATCACATGATTCCTTTCTATGCAACCAATTGGCGAATCTCATTCAGGGCACCGGATTTAAACTGCTCTGGCCTGCCTACTGTTGCTGCTTCCTCTGCAAGTGGCTTTGCATCCCGCCTCCACCCCAGCTCCTCCTTTTCATGCTGTGTCTGACTTACCAGTGTCATTTCTGTTTGTCATTGATGCTGCTCTGTTCTGTTCCTGGGGGGGCTTTGCAAGTGCTCACCTTGCCATGTATGCGCATGGAAGGGCAGGAAGGTTTGCTCTGTCTTCCTCAGGTTTTCCTCATTCGCACATGGAAGGGCAGAGAGGTGTGGTCTCTTCACCTTAGGCTTTCTGCGTAGGCCCGTGGAAAGGCAGAGAAGCCCCAGAACAGAGCCATACTGACAAACATAATACTGCAAATGGAAATAAAGTTTTCTTTGACTAAAGTGTTTCTGACTGAAATGCATTTTTGATTTGAGGTTGAACTGTTCCTTTAAGTGCTGCATTGGAATACGTGCCTCAATATACTAAAGTGCTGTGCTGGGCAGTAAAAGTAGTAACAGCACTGCCCGACGCTGAAAATATACTGCCAGTCCAGTATTTCTCTTTAATGTTGCCGGATATAAAATGAGAAATTAGGGAGAGTCATTGACCAACTCATTGCAGTTCCACTGGCAGGGGTGAATGCATTCCTGATAACAAGCTGCTAATGCATCTCATTCTCACTCTAATTAATAAACAGTAAAGAAAGCAATGATCATTAGAATATTTCACGTCTGACTCACATGGACGCACTTGGGAACAAAAGTGTAACATCTAGACTAGACTACTACCTGGACATCCCCACAAGATAGCCATGTTGGGTGCACTGCACAGCACCCTTGAGAGAAAGAAGAGTGATATTACAGGTTTAATGGTGCATAACATGTATGTAATCTTGTAACAATTCCACAGTAATGGGGATATTGTAAAAGTGTCCATTAGCAGTGGCACATCAGTGTTGTTTTTTTTATGTCATTAAACAAGCTCATAAGCATCTAGTCTCCAACGTAAGCAGCATCAAGCCAGCTGATTGATGAGCACACTGAGGCCGTCAATTAGCGCCCTCCCCTGTGTCCACACATATGCAATCAATGCAATCGGCAAGTATGGATCAAATGTCAGCCACTCGCCCGGGGCCCATTCACATTGCATTCAAGTGAACGTATAAAAGAAAACACTGGCAACATGCAGCACATGACAGAGCTCAAGGACATCAAAGTGTTAAATCAAAGCATTCGCTCTTCTTGATGGTGCCTCGTGTTCTACAGTTGTCTTTTGTATGTTTTTTTTCCTTCTTTCAGTCACGTAGCAGTAAAAGATAGAAAGGACATGAATAGACCTACGAACACTCATGTCTCCATAAAAGAAAATAGCGATTTTTGTGTATTAGAGGAGAAAAAGGTCATAACTTAATTTCAAATCAGCCAATAGCTAGACTGCTAATAAAAGACACGCAGTCAATACAACAATAGCCTTTTTTTCTGTCTCATGTTGACAATTGAGCAGCATCAGATGTTGCCTCTGGGCTTGTGTCACACCTCAAAAGAGGTACCGTATTTGCCACCGGGCCTCATGGCTCCTCTGGAGGAAAGCCATTTGTGCATTTTCAACATTCATCTAATCCAATATTTAGGTTCTTGAAAACAAATGAAAACAATATTGGGGAGACTGTGCTCTCACAGGTTTCACATTTCTGGGTCAAATGGTTTCCTAAAGGGGATGTTGTCTGTGTTAAAATGATATATGCATAGTGTGACACTACGGGGGGAAACTTTTTGGCGTTGTCCACTTTGAGGTGAGGTCAAAGGTCAGGGGTCTGTGTAGAACAGAGCCGCTGGACCTGCTAGAAATTCATTGCCTCGCTCATTGACAGATACTGCTGGTGTAGGACAGTCTCCCTGCTCACCACGCTGTCTTACATATCACATGAATTATGAAAATTCCTGGTACAAGTGAAGGAAGAAGGGATGGACATAGTCCCATCTCACTGAAAGATTTGTCTTGTTATCAAGTATGAGATGAAATGAAATCAGAAGTTCAAATTTCGCTACTGACGCTTCTCAACGTCAGGTTCCTATACTGAATGTGAAGACATTACCATACACTCTGAACACAGCTATACTTTGCAGCCTGGGAAGATGATTTTGATACCAAGCCTTTCAGCACACAAGTGATCAAACACCAAAACATCAAACCAGACATTTAACAGGGGAATTCCGACCTCTTTTGATCTCAATCTTTGCTCATTATATGTGTAAAGAACTGGCCTACAGCGTGGATCTTTTTAAAGATATAAATGAATGACAAAGCATGACAGTCACACTACCAATGCACCAAACCACACCCCACTCTCACTCTCTAATGAAGATTAAATCCATAACAGTTACAATATTTTCAAATCCTCCCTGACCCTGCTCTGCCACAGGGAGGATAACCATAATTCAAACTCTCCCCTCCCTTCATCAGCACCACTAGCTCATCCCAGCAGCTCTTTGGACTGTCGTCAGCACTCCATCCTGTGGACGCCTGCCAGTAGCCCCTCCGTCCGATCAATAGGCACCGGCGGCTAGCTTTCCCCCCATTGCTCTCTCTCTCTCTCTCTCTCTCCTTCTCTCGCCGTCTTTCTCTCCCTCTCTCGGCTACCACAGTATAAAGACTGTTCTGTTCTGCCGGCGCAGCATAGTGATTAGGCATTAGGCCTGCGCTGCTGTGTGAATTAGCTTAATCTGTGTCCGCGATGAAGGACGAGGCTTTTCATGCCCACTGGAGACATTCACTGGACATAAAAGAAGCTAATCTTTAGGAAATTTAGAGAAGGGTTGAAGCGTGTGCATGTGTGTGTGTGTGAGGGAGACAGAGATTGCACAAGAATTGTTGAGACAGTTCCCACAGTGATATGTCTCTTATAATGCTGCTTATCCCTCAAAATTACGAAAAAATCTGCTGAAGTTCTTGAAGATGTGCGGCTCATGGGCAGGCGGAGTGTTGTACTGTCATCACTTAAAGCACTGGAAAAGTGGATAACATGCTGGTTGAAGCAGACTGAGCAATGGGAAGAATAATCTATAACTCCCCATATTCCTGCACCAGAGATCAGTTTGAGGGGAATTAAAGGGGATTGCTTTCTCCTTGTTACACGGCTGCTTACCTGGCCACAAAGGACGCTGCCTAACCTGCAGATCTCAACACAAAGTTTGATAGTTTCCAGGCAACACAGACCAAAAGACAAAGGATTTAATGTGATACGGGAGCTGAGCGTACACGAACACGTTTCCCCCGCTCTGTGCAGCCTCTGCTGTCCATCACGCACCTGCCCGACTGCTGACATGCACTAGGCTAAGCATGTACCCACAGCATGCCTAACAGCAGCAACCCCCAGCCCCCCCCCCCCTCCACCTCCTCCTCTTCTCCTCCACATCATCTGCTGGATATATTGTACGCCCTTGACAAACTGCCAGCACACAATCCTCCTCCTGCAAATGTCTATTGATCAAAGCACAAGTACGGCTGTGGGAAAGGTATGGAGTCTTACCCCTACTCTTATCCTTGCATCACCTCTCATGCTCCAGCACCTTACAGACAAAAGGCAATTCCATAAAACTTAATGGCTATCAGCAGACAATGAGATTCACAAGCAATATTCTGCACTATAATACCTCTGGCACCTGTTTGGCCCAGTAATGACTCATACAGGCTCTCACACTATGCCATGATATCCTGTCCAGATATGTTTAAGGTTATAGCAACAACTTTACTTATGGTTGTTAATGGAGTTGCAGAAATTCAATAATCATCACCTGACAAAGAGGAGCAGCCATACCCATTTTGTTTACAATGTGCTTTTCACACCTTTTGAGCACTTTTACGCACAACCAATGGTGAATTTGGGTCAGCAGTCAGCTGGAGCCAAATATCTGCTGTGTGTTGGGTGATCTGAGCACAGTCGGACGCTTCGTAGCAAGCTTGTTATCAAAAGCAGGGCATTATTGTTAAACCAGCAGTTTCCCAAAATCATCCACCGTGCATGACCAAGAAGGCAGAGCTCCTGCGCATCTCCAAAATTGCTAAACCACGTCCCACTCTGTTGAATGATAACAAAAACCAGAGGCGTTTGAAGACCTGTCACCTTCTCCCTCCCCTGTCCGATCATATGAAGTCTACAGCATGGGGAAATAACGCGATGACTTACCGAAATGAGATCCTGGCCACTGTCAGCGTCCGGCTTCCCCTCGTTTCCCTTCTGCCCCTCGGTCCGCCTCTCTTTCAAGTCAATCCGCAGTGTGAAGTCTGATCAGATCACAACGGAGCGGTGCGCCTTTTCGCTGCGTCCTGCGTCCAGAGTTGCCGGGGATGGAGCGACCATTTGCTGGGATCCTGGGCCGGGGGTGCAAGGCTGAGGCATCCGCAAGGGAAGGAGGAGGAGAAGGATGTGAAAGAGACGGTGGAGGAAGAGGCGAGGCGCTGGGTACGAAAGCGAGAAAGAAAGAAAGAGAGAGAGAGAGAGAGGAGAGCAGCAAAGCACTGCAGCGACGGGGAGGCAACACCGCCGGAGAGGAGGCAGACAGCAGCTCTCTGTCTCGCTCTCGCACTCACTCACGCACACGCGCAGCGTCCTCATACAAGAATACGGAGCGCCATCTTCAGGTGAAGCGTGGTAGGAGGAGGGTGGGAGTTGTCTCAGACATTTAATGTGTGTCATACATGAACACTCACATTATTATCTCTGTGCTTTTTTGGACAGACCACAGGGGAGTGTCAGTGTGGCTCCACAGGGAACATCTGCACCCTGCATGTGACTGATATATTTCCTAACTCTACAGCCAAGCAAGTGCTGTGTGCATGTCATGAGAGTGTCTTTTAGAAGGTCACCCATGGCACCAATTAGTCCAGGGTTGTCAAACACACGGCCTGGGGGGCAGAACTGGCCCTCCAATGGGTCCAATCTGGCCCACTAGATGACTTTGCACACCTAATAATGATGCACTTGTGAAGGCTAAAGTGGGATTTATACTTGTGCGTCAGACCCTACGCTGTTCAATCTATCAATTTTATTTATAAAGCCCAATATCACAAATCACATTTTGCCTCACAGGGCTTTACAGCATACGACATCCCTCTGTCCTTAGCACCCTCGCAGCGGATAAGAAATAACTCCCCAAAAAAACTTGTTGTGGGCACGTACAGTTGTGCGGTGGTGTGTCTGTGTCATTCCTCCAAAACACTAGTCAGTGGCTGGGTTTCTGTGAAGTGCTGTAAAGTTTAGTTGATTCAAAACATGCCCAAAACACACATTAAACATGGTTTAATAGCGACAATTTCAAACACAAGTACATAAATCAGCTTCACTATAACTTGCAGCATTCAGAGACAAAGCACTTGTCTTAATCTGGACACATTTCCCCACAAATACAACATGCTAATGTTTTTAGCACAAGCCTATGGCATTTTACATTGTATAAATTAGCCTAGCAGCTAGCGGACTTTTCCTCTTCTCATATAAAACCTGGGACAACAGCAACATTTAACAAAAGTAACGTTACAAAAGTTGGCTCCATTACAACTCAAAAGGTTCACTGACAAAACGACTGTCTTATACTAAACATGTGGTCCAAACAAATACAACATGCTAATGTTATTAGCACAAGCCTATGGCATTTTACATTGTATAAATTAGCCTAGCGACGAGCAGAGATTTCCTCTGCTCATATGAAACCAGGATAAATCACACACAAGACTTAAAATGCTGTTTTTGTGGAGGCTTTATTATCCTTTATTATCCTCACAATTTATTGTTTCTTATCTGTGAAATACAAGTTTCCACTGAGGGAAATGGTTTCAGCTTACAAAAATAGACAGGTCTGTGTCGCCACAATGTGTAGTTACATTTCTGGGGAGATGCATGTCAGGCTACAGCGTAGGCTCTACGTCAATACAGAGCCAACGCCATAGGTACGGCGTCGATTCAACACAGAAATATAAAGTCCGCCTCAAAAGATGCCAGGTTTAAGGCACAATTTGAACAGTGAGTAGATACTGGACTGAACTTGCACATATTTTCATAGGATATCGCAGGCTGTTCATCTTTTGTTTTGTAAATGGATAAAGGTTTTCAGAATGTAGGGGTTATTTAAAGGTTATTATGCCGTGGTTTTACTGGTCCGGCCCATCTGAGATCAAATTGGGCTGTATGTGGCCCATGAACTTAAATAAGTGTGACACCTCTGAATTAGTCCCTTAGAACAACACCCCATTTCCACACACACCAGCACTCGTTTATTTCTTTAGCCCTACCATAACCTTAACCATGACAATAACCACTAGCTACCCACAAACCTTACCCTTAACCTCAACCTAACTTAAACTCAAAACCATTATAATCCTCAAATTCAGTTTGGTTAACCTAATAAGGATGTGATTTTGTTCCCAAATTGGAGATGAGTCCCCATATGTGCACAGATTGTTTCTGTCAATACCACCACCACCACCAACCCCACCCATGTTGTTTTACACCCACCATCCCCCTTTTGCACACACACACACTCCATGGCAACCAGCTCCCAGTTGGGTTATGATGATGATAATATCACCTGACCTGCACTCCATCATCTCTCCAGCTCCCTATCCCCCTTCACTTTTCTCACACACACACACACACACACACACACACACACACACACACACACACACACACACACACACACACACACACACCTGGTTTCCCAAGGTCAAGAATGGCTGAGTGTTTCAGATGTGTGGCTGTATCATATGTTCTGCACAGTCAGTTCTGCGGACTCCAATAGACTGGGGATTTCTTTTTCTTTCTTTCTTTTGTTCCTTCTTTCCCCCTTAATTCAATTTGCTCTCTCTTTGCTCGCATTAAAACATCTTCATTATGTTGAAATATGATGGCCATTTCGCACACAGTGTCTCTTCTGTCGCCCTTTTTTAATCTGACTGTCCCAAGATAATCCTGTCTTTTCTTCTTTAATCAAATATTTTCTCTCTCATTTTACACTTTCTCTTCAAGTCTTAACAAAAAAAGACATTAGCCCAGAACGGTAGGCTACTAATTTGTTTTGTGGCATTAAGTGACCTCTATTTGTTCTGAAATACTCATCTGATTATAATATTTATATAGATATAGATCTCAGTGTGAATGTGGTATTGGTGATATCAGGTACATGTAGCACCATTAATAAGTAAGCCAAGTAAGCCCTTTTCATTTATGCACTATGATCATTTTATTTCAGAAAGTAAAAGTAATGATAATGTGGGATTATAATATCGTGTTCATCTTCTTCTGTTCATTTATTTATTTATTTATTTATTTATTTAGAGGTTTTTAATGTTTATTTTTATAATCTGCACAGCAGACATTGTATATTTACCATCCAAATGAGTTTGCTGTGTTGGATAAGATATTATAGCCAGGGAATAAAAAATGCTGCAGAGGTGTAAAATAAAAATCATAATGATGAGCTGTGGGACGCTGTGTAAGCAAGCAGAAACTGGGTCTTTAGTTAATATATTTGTACAGACTGGAAATGGATTGAGAAAAAGCCACAATAAATAAGAACGTGAACGAAGAGAGCCGTGTCACTTTTGCCCTAACTGTCAGACACAGTTAAATACAGTACTGACACTGTGTCACCTATCAGTAAGTGTGCATTAGGGAAGTTAATCAGATGGGTGAGATAACAGAGGTAAAGCGCCTGTTTTGGTTACTTAAAGATAAAAAACAATGACTGACCAGCTCACTCAGTGTAGAAGTCGATAGTGCAGGCAGGCAGTCCATGAATGCATCCAAGGAACTCTGACTGTAGTTAAAAATCCTTCATCAATACATGGATAACCAACGTGTTTTGACTAGTGTCTTCATCAGGGTGTAAAATGCAGTGGAAACAGGTGTGCAATTTAAGAGCTCATGTGACGGTCATGTGATATAATGGTACAGCCCTACTGGATGATTTTTCAGTTTCTGCCACTTCATGTGCAGGTTTGTCACAATATATAATAAATCTTATTTTATTTCACAGTTGTTTTCTTTCTTTTTATTTTGCATTGAACCTTTTGTCTTGTTACTTGATATGTTAATTATTTAAAGTATTTACACACAGTATTGTCACATGACCCTCACATGAGCTTTTCAAATGCATTTTACACCCTGATGAAGACCCCCAAAGTCTTGAGTCCAAACATGTTGGTCATCCATGTATTAATAAAGGATTGTTAACTACAGTCAGAGCACCTGGGATGCAGTTTTAGGCTGCCTGCCTGCACTATGGACTTTTACACAGAGCGAGCTGTGCAGTACTCCCTATTTTTTCCTCACCTGTTTTGGTCAATTGCCAAAAAAAATGAACACTACACACACTCTGTGATTTGTAATCCAAGTGTAACCTTTGGTTTTTCTTACTTCTATTACCAATAATAATTTAACCTGCAGCAATCTCATGGAGGAAACAGCTGTTCGGACAGGATGATCAGTGAAAGCCAGTGTAAGTGCACAGGCAGAGAAACAAGCCACATACAGAAACTCTAACGTTACTAGAATGTAAAATAATATTTTCACCAGCTGAGAAAATGGCTCTCAACTCAATATAATTGCAAATGTAAGTAGGTTTGTTGGTTGCTTTAGAAACCATTCAAAACACAGTTATCAGTGTTTGTTACCAGGAAGAATGCCCACCAGGATAAATTTGAGAGGCACTTTAACTGCTCCATGTGGTTTGCTCATGTTCACTCACCAGCAGATAACACTGTGGTTGTAGTGGGCAGCTTCCAGCCATGGATGGAATGCTATTACCTACCGGGCACAGGCACAATGTGCACTGAAATTAACACATACTGACCAGGAAGATGCTCAAAATGACCACAAGGAGACACAAAAAGATGCAAAAGAACTGCAAAGAGACACAAAATGACTCTAAGAAGGGGCAAAACAACCAAAATGAGAGACAACATGTGGTCATTTTGTCTCTCATTTTGGTTGTTTTGCCCCACAAAAATGGGCAAAATAACCTTAAAGAGATGCAAAATGACTACAGAAAGGAGCAAAACAACCAAAATGAGACACAAAATGACTACAAGAAGAGACAAAACAACCGCAAAGAGACACAAAATGACATAACAGACACAAAATAACCACAAAAGGGGCAAAACAACCAAAATGAGACACAAAAAAACTACAGAAAGGGGCAAAACAACCGCAAAGAGACACAAAATAACACAACAGACACAAAATAACCACAAAGGGGGGCAAAACAACCATGAAGACACACAAAATGACTACAAGAAGGGGCAAAACAACCACAAAGAGACACAGACAACCACAAAAACATGCAAAAGAACTGCAGAGAGACACGAAATACCCACTAAAGGGGGCAAGATACCTGTGAAGAGACACAAAATGACAAAACAGAAGAAAAATAACATCAAAGAGACACAAACAGCCAAAAAGGGATGCAAAACTACCACAAGGAGACAAAAATGACCACAATAACACAAAACCCCCAAAACATGCATAAAGCTATAAAGTCAGAGCTGATGCT